TTTGAATTTATGTAAAGAAATATTCATTTCATTCATATTTTTCTTTTTCTTGAAGAGGGGGAAGTGTTATGTATGGAACATATTACATGTATATAATTTATATCTGACCAGTTGGTTTTTCCAATATTATCATTGTTCTATTTTTAGAACATTAACTACATGTATGTACTAGAACTTTCTTACATGTTGTAGAAAACTCATGCATTATATTTAGATAGAAACTTCTGGAATGATCTTTATTGGTGAAGTTGCTAGATTATGATTACTTGAGAACATAATAGACCTTTCTGGAAACTTCTTAGTTATTATATATAAGGAGACATTTTTCATTAATCTTATCTTTTAGTCATCAGTTACCTTTTTAGTCATCAGTGATCTTTTAAGTCATCAATATATTTGGAGTATTATTCATCTTGGAAATTAAGTGATTTATTGGAGCTTGGATTATTAATTATTCTTGTGGATTTTATTGTGGGAATTTATTCTAAAGTGTTCTTGGATTTAACTGTGCTATTGAAAAAGGATCATTCCAGGATCAGACTAGACATTTGTAATTTTTATTTGGACTTCAGGTATTTGTAAAGTTATTTGTTATTTTATTTTTCTTTAATAATTTTTCTGTAATAAATTTGTTATATTGTTACAAGTTTGTTGCTGGCTTTTCTTTCTTGTTACGCCTGGCTCGTAACACCAGACACTAAGCAATGTGACTGTATGTGCATCTAGCAGGCTGAGACACCAAGTCAAGTGGCTAAATGTGCATCTAGCTGGCTGAGATACTACGCCAAGTGTCTAAATATGCACCTAGCTGGCTGAGACACTAAGCAAAGTGACTAAATGTGCACCAAGCTGACTGAGACACTAAGCAAAGTGGCTAAACGTGCACCTAGCTGGTTGGGATACTATGCCAAGTAGCTAAATGTGCACCTAGCTGGCTGAGACCACTAAGCAAGGTGGCTAAATGTGCACCTAGCTGACTGACACACTAAGCAAAGTGGCTAAATGTGCACCTAGCTGGCTGAGATATTAAGCCAAGTAGCTAAATGTGCACCTAGCTGGCTGAGACACTAAGCCAAGTGGCTAAAAATGCATCTAGCTGGCTGAGACACTTAGCCAAATGGCTAAATGTGTACTTAGCTGGCTGAGACACTAAGCCAAGTGACTAAATGTGTACCTAGCTGGCTAGGATCACTAAGCCAAGTGGCTAAAAATGCATCTAGCCAAGTGGCTGTGTACCTAGCTGGCTAGGATCACTAAGCAAGGTGGCTAAAAATGCATCTAGCTGGCTGAGACACTAAGCAAAGTGGCTAAATTTGCACCTAGCTGGCTGGGATACTATGCCAAGTAGCTAAATGTGCACCTAGCTGGCTGAGACACTAAGCAAAGTGGCTAAATGTGCATCTAGCTGGCTGAGACACTAAGCAAAGTGGCTAAATGTGCACCTAGCTGGCTAAGACACTAAGCAAAGTGACTAAATGTGCACCTAGCTGGCTGAGACACTAAGCCGGGTGGAAAATGTGCACCTAGCTGGTTTTAATACTATGCCAAGTAGCTAAATGTGCACCTAGCTGGCTGAGACATTAAGCCAGGTGGCTAAATGTGCACCTAGCTGGCTAGGATCACTAAGCCAAGCGGCTAAAAATGCATCTAGCTGGCTGAGACACTAAGCCAAATGGCTAAACAAGGGTGCCATAGTCACAAAATACGCCCGTTTACGAAAGCTTTAGATGGAGATGGGGGCATTATGGATCTAAAAAATTCTGATTTAAGATTTTATTCTAGGGAAATACATTTCATTACAATTCTTAATCTTTGAATGAGCTGAACTGATATTTACTTGAAAATTAAAATATAATTAAATTTCTATGAGAAAGTATTTACATTTGATAAGGTAATTACTGTATGATCTTTATGAACAAATACCAAGTCTACAGAACACCATAGTTATCACAGTTAAGAATCTTGACCAATGAATGAAACATGTGTAAATAAATGTTACATTCTTTAGAACATACTCAAGTCCAAGAAAGAGGATTATTTTATGCCCTTTGATTAAATTCTATTTTTAGAATTGAAAGTGAAAGTAGATCAAGGGGAGTAATTGTGTAAGTCATTTATGAACAAAGTAATAACTTTGTTGTCGCCCTTTGATTAAATTCTATTTACAAAATCTGGATATTTCATCATCTTTAGTGACCTTGACCTTGTATATATTGACCTAAATTATATGTATCACAGCCATAGTCTTGATAATGACCATTTGTGTTACAATCCCTCAATAAATGATGACTAAATGGTCCATATACACATCTTCATATTTTTATCTGAACTTTGACCTCTATGTGTGACCTTGACCTTGGCCGCAAGGACCTGAATCTTGCACCCGACACTCCGCCTCACAATGGTGAACATTTGTGCCAAGTAATATTGAAATCCCTCTATACATGTGGAAGTTTTGCTCCGGACAAGCATTTTTCAATGAGCTCTAAGTATGACCTTGACCTTTGACCTAGAGACCTGGTTCATGTGCGCGACACTGCTCCTCATAGTGGTGAACATTTGTATGAAGTTTCATTAAAATCCCTCCATACATGTAGGAGATATGCTCCGGACAAAATTGGACGCCGCCCGCCCGCCCGCCAGGGGCGTTCCCATAATACGTCCCGTTTTTCAAACGGGCGTATAAAAAGCATGTAGCTGGCTGAGACACTAAGCCAAATGGCTAAAAATGCATCTAGCTGGCTGAGATACTAAGCCAAGTAGAGCTGTCATTGATTCAGTTAAAGGCATATTGTCGCTATATAGATATCGGATTATAAACATCAACGATACACCAATATAATATTATATTGATATATCAATTATCTATATTTCACTTTCACATTTGGATGAATAATTTCAGTAAAAAAACACCTTCTGCACATGAACTTGTGATGTGTTTTGTTTATAAATATTTGCATGTTTTTTATTGTGTTTGTATAAACTGCTGGCACCAGGGTAGTTGACGGATGTTTAACCCAATGTTCCAATGTTTACCATCAAGATCTCTCAAATTAGTTGTATTGTCACTAATTAGCATGGTCAAACGGGACTAATTTTGACTTTACTAAATGTTCCCAAACAGGACTTTGTCTTCTTTTTGTCCACAATTTTAATGTTCTCAGCCATTTTTATATGTTGCTAGGATATAGGCACAGACTAAAATGTAGACATTTGTGAATGATGACCCTGCGATAAAAAGATGGTTACAGTATAATGATAATTGATTAAGATCTAACAGATCTTTATTTTTACAAAATAATTTTCAAAATTGGAATGATTAGTTTATATCATTTTCATTTTTCATTTTTGATTTCATTTTTAACACATAAAAAATGTGAACACAGCGACCATACAGTAGTTGTCCATTAAGCAGCCACGGCATAGTTTTAGACATGTCCTTTTGACTGGGCACCTGTTTCTGTTCATATTTCAAGATAATTTTTGTAAACTTTTTAATAATATGTGAAAGTATCGATTTTTTAAATTTTTTAAATCAATCGACAAAAATTTTATCAATGATACATCGATATTGCCAAGTGGCTACATGTGTATCTAGTCGGCTGAGATACTAAGCCAAATGGCTGAGATAGAAGAACAGCTGCAAGCAATAATTGCTACAGACATGACATCTGATAAAACATTTAGGTGTGCTGTGCTAGGTGTGTTATAAACTACATACATAATGCAGAAAAATCATTTAAGTGTGCCATAAATATTAACAAGTTTAACCCAGTAAGCAGTGGCTGCTACTTGCCAAGTCTGGTCATTGTGATAGAGCAGGAAAATGCTACTTAATTACATTTTTCTTCAACAAAGTATAACGATACATGGTATACTGTGCTATAAAAAAAATCACAAACACTTCAAATACAATTGCCAACATGTAAAAATGCCAAGAAAATGTATGGTGGGAGCTCATTGAAAGAAATTATTTTAATCAATTAATTAATAATTAATTAAACAAAGCAAAGTCATTTTACAGATATTATGGTGGTATTTTTGTCACCTACCCTGACTTCTAAGTTACGAGTACCATCTCTTGACCTCTCCACAAGAAAGAAAGCATCAGTCATTTTCCTATAAATACACATGTACAATCATCAAAACATAAAAACCCCGACTTCATGTCAAATGCAGCAAATACACTTTCCACAATTATTTTTTCAGCACAAATAGGAAAGCTTTAGACTTAAGTCATCAATATAGTCATGTTACCATGTATCAGCTGTCAGCTAAATTTTAGAAAAAGTGTTTTGACAGAAATATGTCTGAAACTAAAAAACATTTTTTTTTCAAAAAAAAAAAAAAATTTGAAATCAAATGTGTCCATATGACATTACATACCCCTTTTTGCACACCAGGACATATTTTATTCAAGTCAAGCGTAAAAGTAATGCATACATTATAATAATACAATAATAAAGAGATTCACAAACTGACCATTTTGAAAACATTTAATTTTGGTTGATAAGAAAAGTATTTCATGTGTCACTGTCACCTTGACCTAATAACCTTAAATTCAACAAGGGTCCCCAACTGACCATGGGATATTTCCCTACAAAGGTTTTTATTATATAATCTATAAATAGCTTTAAAATGCCTTTCCCTGATTGGCTAACAAGCAACTTTTTGTAAAAAATAACAGGTCAATATCAGAGTATATTCACTGTTTTTTTCTAAAAATAGATTTTCAGAGTATATTCATCGGTTTTTCTTCTAAAAATAGATTTTCTCGAAATCCCTAAAAGACGCGAGACTTTGACGTGTCGTCACTCCAAGTTTGTTGTTATTATTCTGAAAAAACGTTGAGTGGGGTGTACATTAGAGTCAAATTAGTCTATTTTTAATAGTTAACGTTTTACATTTTTAAGAACAATAGGGATTAGCATGCCAATGGAAAGGGCCAAATTATGGAAACAGTAGACAAGCTGTATAATAATGATTTCCGTCGTATGCAATGGCAGATGTGATAAGCCATATAAAAGCTATTTATAAATTATATAATAAAACAGATATGTACTTTTTAGCTGTTGAATATGATGTGATATGTACTGAAAAATTAATATTGACCTCGGCTATCGCCTCGGTCAATATTAATTTTTTCAGTACATATCACATCATATTCAACAGCTAAAAAGTCCATATTTGTATAATATTTCCCTACTAGGTTTTATATACTAGTAGCTTTCTGACGCGGTATATTTTGCTATTAGCAGCATGGGCAAAGTGATACTCGGTCTAGCTATATATAAATTTTGTGAAGCTGCTCATAGCAAAATACTAAGCTTCCGAAAGCTACTACAACATAATTTACCATATTTAATTAAACAGAAACAAAAGTAAATCATTTTTCTTTGCCCTGTATGTTACATAATTTATTATTATAATCCAGTAGTTTAGACAGACAGATTTACAGACATGTTAAAGGAGAGTAGATACAGATACTTACTTTGGTCCATCAATTGTTATGTTTGAATCAAACTTCGTGTTCTTCACAATTAAATCAAAGAAAATATCTCCAATCTGTAAGAAAAAAAATAATAAAAATATTGTTTTGAAAAGGCAAAAGTTACAAACTGATCTATACAAATATAAATGTGTCAGGGTATTAACAGAAACATTTTTAGCGAAAAAAATATGAGGTCACTGATCTCATTTTCTGGGTATCTTGCCGTTGAATTTGAAAATAATAATTCTTTCTTAGATCAAAACAATGTTTATGTATTTTTTGACTTTTCAAGTTTTAAAAGAGTCAAAAACCTTAATGTACTGTCACAGCAATATGTGCATTTCAGATACAACTGGCACAGGGTAGAAACCGCCGACGATTCCATAAGCTAGCTGGAAAGCTTCCTCACTTGAAAGAATCCAAAGTCCCTGTTGGGATTCGGACTCACAGCAGTTTAGGGCAAGTGGTTTTAAGTCAACAACCTTAACCACTTGGCCACAGTTAAGAAGTGTTTTGAAATTACTAATCTTTGTCAGAGATCAATGATTGCATTTGATACTAATTAAATCATTGTAGAAATCTCAAGTAAATATAGTCCAGATATAACAAAAATACAGCAATCAAGCAAGGCTGTCCCATCCCATACCTAGCTTGTGAAAATTAATATCAAATACCCTATCCAAGCTTCTTAACTTGTAAATTTAATGTCAAAATAACAACAGTATAGAACCTGATCAAACTGTGCAAATCACCGTCCTGGCATGGCAAATGCCAAAGACTAATGATAGTAATCATGTACAGCAGCAGATGGCTGAGACTCCAGCCGGCTGAGAGACCAGCTGACTGAGAGCACGAGATGTGTTGTAACTAAATATTACATGATATATAAATCAACTTACCGTTAATCTAATGGACTCTGACCATTCAACAAAGGGTCTTTCCTGGAATTCAATACCAAACAATAATTCATGCACCTCATTTTCATTATCTCAAAAATTCTCAAAAAATTACTTGAATATTAAAGGGACTCCACTGAGGTATTTATGACATGACATGACTAAAAATAAGTTTTCGAGATCAATGTTCCATTTATTATAGGTCTAGACCAGTAAACATGTGTGCAAAATTTCTGACCATTAGATCACGCCATTTTTCCACAAAAACTATTCTTATTGTTGAAATGACCAAAAATTCTTGCTATGCTTTTAACTTAAACCAGGCTGAGATTAGCACAAAAATACAATTTTGAATTTATTTAATTATCTTTTGCATATCTTTTCTGTTTTAAGTGCCCCAGCTGATCAAAAATTCAAATGTTTATGTTTTTAGGATTTTGGCCTTCAGTGGAGTTCCTTTAATAAAATATATTCAATGTAACAATTTATGTCTCAAAATATAACAAAGAGGCCATTTCGATGCCCTGAAGTCGCTCCACCGTATATAGGCCCATGGCAGCGGGGCCAGTTTAAAACCCCAGGGCTTTTATTTGAACAAACTTGGTAGACACCCATTAGAAGATATTTCATGCTTAACATCTAAGGTCTAGCTGGTTTCAAGTTTTTTTCTTTGCACATATATGTGTAGTAAAAACAATGACACACCTGGGGCAGGGCCAGTTTTGACCCCCAAAGGCTTTTAATTTTGAACAATCTTTGTAGTACACAAAAATGTTTCATGCATAGATCTAAACTTTGCATTGCAGCTTTTTCAATTAAGACTCTTTAAACTCTAGCTATTACAATTAAAGGAAAAAACAATTCAGCTGGGGGGGGCCAATTTTGACCCAGGTTTTTTGAACAAACTTTGTAAAAACCACTAGAAAATGCTTCGTCTTAAAAATCTAAAAAAATCAAGTATTTTTAGTTTTTTCAAAGAAGATTTTTTAAAGTTTTTGTATAACACATATAAGGAAAAAGGAATGAAACCCCTGGGGGGGGGCCTTTTTGACCCCAAGGCTTTTTATTTTTAATAACTTGGGTAGACACTCATAGAAGATGTTTCATGTTAGTATCTAAAAATCTACTATATGGTTTTTTTTTAAAAAAAATTTTTTAAATTTTTCTATCACATTAAGAAAAAAACCAATGACCCCCGGGACAGGGCCAATTTTTTACCCCCACGGCCTTATTTGAAAAAAACTTGGTAAACATCCATTAGAACATGTTTTTAGCTAAAAATCTACTCTAGCTCTTTGGGTTTTTAAAGAAAATTTTTAAAATTTTTTCTATATGCATATAG